AATCAGGCAAAAATCAGATACCAGACAGGATGAGATTCCCCAGGATTTTTGTTACAGGAACAAAGCTGTATGAGGTCAGGCATTAAATAGGGTGGAAAAATCTGTATTAAAAGCCCGAGACAAAACCTGCATGAGTCATCAGAAATTTTCTGTCTGACTTCAGTGGACCCTGGATGAGGCTGTGAAAGAACATTGTGATTTCACGTGTCAGTATTCAAACTTCAGGATGTCAATGTTAGGATATTTATACTGGCCTAGGCATTGGATTTGGTAGCACTATTCTTCATATAATCCAGTCTTATAGGAGACAACTTCTTTTAGAAATCATATAATAAATCTTGAAGAATAATTTAATTCTGGGATGCTAATGTTAACCTCACTGATGTAATTGATTAGCACATCTTTGTTGACTCATGGTGACATTTTCTGAGGTGCTTAAACAGCTGAAGAATACAAACTAATTAAAATGAATTTACGTCCCTTTGAAAAAAAAAAGGAGGCATTTTCAAAGGCGTCCAATTAGGATATCCTTTTCCCACTAGAAATGAGAGAGATTTGAGTGCCAACTTTCTAAAACTAGTTTTGAAAATCTCACCTTTAATTCTTTCTCCGAACCATATTTTAGTATTTTTCCATCCCAATACATTTATGCAAGCACTGTCACTCCATCTTGCTCTTCTAACAGGTATTTCCACCAAAGACAGCAATACTGAAATACTCATGCAACCAAGATAACTTCTTCAGTACTGCAGCATCACACTTCTCAACATGTGAGACAACGTCTATCCAGGGATTCGATGGAATTTCCTGGAGTGCTTTAGCTCCTATCTAGTTTCCCACTCTCCTCTTGCTGGTTGCCTCCTATCACAGACAGTCCCTTAAAGCTAAAATAGTCTGCCACCAGCTGTGAGTGCATATGTAGACATGAAGTTGCCTTATTATCCCTAACAGTGACCCATCTTGGCTGGGAGCTTTGCTGAGGGTTTCTGTTCTGTTGTGCTCCTTCATGGGAGCTGCACTCACTCCGTGTACCTGATGCACTGTTAATACGGGCATTAGCTTTTATGATTACCCTGACCTCTTCCTAGAGACATTTGCATAATTATTTCATGCTAAGTAGAGCAGCTTCATGTCTCGAGGAGGCTTCGTTGCACCACTTCCAACGGTGCACGTGGGAGCACTAGCTTCTGGCATTCCTTCAAAACCAGGTCTCTCATATCTGAAGATATTGGGTTCACAGTCTCTTCTCCCCTTCCCTCTTCCCAGCACTAGCCCTCAAGTGGAATTTAGGTGTTCTCTGGGAGCCCCTGGTTGGCTGGGCTTTAATACCAGGTATTAAACATAGGGGAAACACAGAGCTTGAGAAACCCACTCAAACCTCTGATGTGAGGTGGGTTTCTGATGAACAGTTCAACAGCTCCCTGGTTTAAAGGGTTTTGTAGGTCAGCACAAGCAGAAGGGAGGCCAGTGCAGGGCTGTAGCTACCTCCACAGTCAGAAGGCAATCAGGTATTGTAAGGAGAAGGTCCATGGTGTTCCAACACTGAAGTAAGACTCTACTCGGGGATGTTGTTTTGGCTGCTGCTGATCCACACAAAGACACTGCCTCTTCTAGCCCAGCCTGAGGCTTCAATGTTGGCTACCATGCCCACAGCACATCTCCAGGATTGTAGTCTGACCCAGTTAAGGCAAACTGTACTTGTTCATCCTCAACACTTTTGATAGTAAGTTTTGGGGTTTTTTTATAATTTGATCATTCTGGCCAGGTGGGGAGTGATGATCATACTGGCAACAGATCTGAACTCAAGGGGTGAAGGAGATAAGTGCCTATAAAGAAGATAACTGATGAAAATGGTCTGTGTTTGATAATCTCTTCGTTTATATCAGCTGCAGCCAAAAGAGCTGGTTTACATCTGATTATAACCTTTGTTTTCTAGAGAGCTCAGAGTCCCTTGGTGGATCTTAGCAGTTTCAAGAAATTACCTGCTATCTGCATATCCTACATTGCTTAGGTATACAAGCAAGATATTCCTTACAGCCCCTCCCTCAGACACTCTGGAGACACGAGACAGATGATTCCAGTCTGGATCCATTCCACTACAATTATCCACTGTTTTTTGGTAACATATTTTTTATTTAAATAAATCAAGAGGTTCCATTTAGCACATTGAGTTTGTCTTGGCATACACTTCACACATGCAGAAACTCTATATTAAGGTTTTCATACAGCCTTTAGCAAAAGAATCAGCCAAATGCATCCCTGGTGTGCAACTGTACTGACTTCAGTGAAGTTTCACCAGGGTATCCCTGTTCTGTTGTTTTGTCCTCCTCGTTCTCATTCCAAAAGACAAATCAGAGGAAAATGTATGTTTGTATTTAGTTAATGCAACATATTCCCCATATGAGCTGCATGTAATCCCCTGTACTTCATTGTCTTCTACACTGCTTGCTGCTTTGCAGGACTTTTATTTACATTTTCATATTTATCTATCATTTGGATTTTATGACAGCTGCCAGAACAACACAGAGGTTGCAAGAACAAGCAGTAGAAAGTCAGGAAACATTAAAGTCACCATTTGCCCATGAACATAAGCTAACAACCTTCAAGTGAGCCTGTTGGCACCAGCAAGCATGAGAGCAGCAGGAGTCTCTTAGCTTTGAGTGCCAGTCACCAAGGATCAGTTCTTGGCCCTATTTCAGTCTGATGTTCAGCAACATCAAAAAGGTAAGAGGAACCAGATCCATATGGGCTGGGCTGGTCTGAGGGGTGGGCAGGACATCACCTGGCTTGCAGTGCAGTGATTGCACTGCCTGTGTGTCACGGCTCCAGGTTTGCTTCAACTGGTGTCAAGGTAAGCAGAGCTCTGCCTGCTATGAGAGTCAGTTCAGAAAAGTTAAAGCAGAGTGACACCTGTCAAGGAGGTGAGACTTGGGTTGAGCTACCCTAAAAATTACTTTTTGTCACTTTGCTATTAAACACTTTTATCAACAACATGAATGAAGTCATACCTGCATTACAGGCTGTCAGAATCACAGAGTCATTACACTTGGAAGAGGACTTTATGATGATCAAATGATACAGACCTGGGGGCAGAGTGTCTGGAAAAAGGACCTGGAGGTGCTGGTCAACAGTGGCTGAACATGAGCCAGCAGTGCCCCAGTGGCCTAAAGGCCAAAGGCATCCTGGCCTGTATCAGGAGCAGTGTGGGCAGCAGGAGCAGGGCTGTGATTGTCCCCTGTACTCAGCACTGGTGAGGCCACACCTCGAGTGCTGTGTTCAGTTCTGGGCCCCTCACCACACAACTGCCTGAAAGGAGGGTGTAGCCAGATGGGGGTCAGTCTCTTCTCAGAGGTCAAAAGTTACAGGGTGAAATGGCTTTAAGCTGTGCCGAGAGAGGTTCAGTTTAGACATTAGGATTTCTTTTTTTGGTGTAAAAAGTTGTCAAGCATTGGAACAGGCTACCCAGGGAAGTGGTTGTAGTCACCATGCCTGAAAGTGTAAAAAAGCAAACATATAGGACATTTGAGGACACGGTTTAATAGTGAACATGGTGTTGATGCTGGGTTAACAGTTATACTTGATGACCTTACAGGTCTTTTCCAACCTTAATGATTCTATGACTCTAGGACAGGAACACTGTTTCTCCTGCCACTCATGCATCTTCCCTGTGTTTTGTAGTGGTGTGATCTCTGCAATACTGTGTTTCTGGGTGTTGAAGCACTGATGAGCATCCAGAAATTATCCATTCAGGGTAATGATGGGCTTGGGGTGCATGGCATTAGGGTACAGCCTGAAGGGCACATTGTGGTTAGCATGTCAAGGAGAAGGTGAAAGTCTTATTCACCATTCAAACAGGGTGCAGAAATCTGATAATATGTGGTCTTTTCAATTTAGCAGATATGTAACAATGTTCTGTGGCTGGAAGTTGAAACCAGTCAAAATCAGAATAAAACTGACATGCATATTTTTAACATTCAGGATAATGAAACTGGAATTATTTCCCAAGGGCTACAATGGAGTATACATCACTGGAAAACTTTTCAATCAAAAGAGAATGAGGCTGGATTTTTGTTTTCCAAACAGATATGCTCTAATTCAAGGAGGAATTAATTGAGGCCAGTTCTGCAGTCTGCACAATAAAGCTGATCACATTAAATGTAACCCTTGATGTTTTGAGCATCTTTTATTGGAATAGAGGCCCAAAAGAAGGACTGTCCATATATAAAAATAGTCTTATTTATTGCTAACACACACAGCAATGGGCCAGGACTAACATCATTAGGCTAAGCATTCATATGCTCAGTATCCATGGGGCAGCCACCTTGCGAGTCTCTGCTGGCCAAAGTGCTGTCAATCAAGCAGAGAAGTGTCAACCTTTGTTTCTCCTTAGAACATGCAGATGCTCAGTCCTGTTGATGCACTGCCTGCCTCTTCTCTGCCTTATCTCATAAGGTTTTTAGATCTTGACAAGTCAGTGATGGTTTTCTTTGCTTTTTTTTCCCCTGCTGAATCTGATGATTTTTTTACTCTGCTTCCAACCAGTACCTCTACTGACCTAACAAGCTCACCTCTGTGGTCCCTCTTTGTTTCTGCCTTCTTGCCTATTAAAATCTCTCACCTCCATCTTAAAATGAGAGTGACAGCAACAGCTCATCTCTGGTAAAACTGAACCCTGAGTCACATAAATGGTTCCAGTGGTACCGTTTGTTTTCATGGTCAACAAACATTCAAGGGCCCATATCTCCTCCAAGGCTTCCCCTCATGGTTTGAATCCCATGCAGACGTATCTCTTTATGAAAAGTATCTGCTCAGCCTGCTTATGCATGAGGGCTGTAAGCACATCCAAAGAGACAGAAGGAATGATTCCCACCTTCCTTACCCCCCATGCAGTGTGAGCCATGGCTATGGTAAGCTGGAAAATCAGTAATTTTAAAGAAATTCTGCTTTTGCACAAATACTGAGGGTTATATATGAGGGTATGTGATTAGGATTTCAGAGATAGATGAAACTATTGGATAAATAGTACTGGGTACTGCTGTGCTCTTATATTTCACATTTAATATCTCTCTTGATAACTAACTACGCAGAAAACCCAAAGCCATGGCTGTGATTGGGGATAATGTATGTGCCAAAGTTCAAAGAGCTACATCAATTCTCTAAGGTGTTAAAACTGCCTAAGAAACATAACAGAAAGTGTGCAGTTTTGTCCCCTGCCCCATTTTCGAAATTCAAACCTTAATTACAAAACAAAATTCAGCAACTTCATCCTGGGTCCTTCAAGGAATATGTAATAATTTGGACAAAATGTCAACAGAATTATGAACATTCTGCAAATGCCTTGTAAAATTAAAGTATTTTAATTATGGGAATCTCCAGAATGGAAAGCAGAGGATTCTCTAGCAGTGGTAACAAGTGGTACTGTAGTTAGTCCCTATTATCCTGCTTCACAAGCCTCTGTGGTGTGCCACTGTCCCGTGAGCTACACAAAACTTGTGCATGCATCCCTCTCAGCATTGCTGTGGCAAGGAAAGGGGAAAAAAAACTTCCTTCAGCTTTAGTGCAAAGACTTCCTTGGTGGATAGGCAAGTAATATTTATTCTGGCTGTAGTATCCCTTTTAAAGGTTACATATTGCTGTGCCTGGAAACTCTACTTAATGGCTGTGTGTGTGTGTGAGAGAGAGAGAGAAACTGTGACAGATGGATTATAGAGATTGATTACACTGGACATTTTTATGTACTTGTAACCTGATCAAAAATATTTCATTTTTATATCCATGGATTCTTTGAGAAGTAAAATAACAGCAGCCTCCTCCCCAACTCCCCCCGCCCAAACAACCCCCCCAAAAAACTCCTCAAACCCACAAGACCCTGACCCCAACCAACAAAAGCAAAACACTAGCAGAGATGCAAAAGAATATGAGATGAAAATGGCATTATTTATATGAGCACCTACCTCACCTCAAAATAGCATTGCAGTGAGTTGCACCACTAAGAGCTCTCCAAAACCTCCCCATGTGAAACTTCTGCAGGAAGATGTGGAAGCTTTCAGTCTGGCTCAGAAGGGAGAGCCCACCTGTAGAACTCACAAATTGAGTATCTTCACATCTCTGGGCTTATGAGCTGAGTACCTCTTTTTCCTCCAGCTTGTGTGACAGAAATGCAACTCATCTTTTCTTACCTGTCTCCTCATCCAAGGAGAATCAGCATCAGCAAGATTCTCAGAAATTTGTACACATTGTTTTCCTTCCTGTTTCAAAGAGTCAGGAAGATTACAGGGTAACTGTTCTCCAAGCATTAGGCCACTTCTGCTTCTTTTTTTCCAGAGCAGCTTTCTGTAAACAGTTCTTTTTTTTTTCTTTTTTTTTTTTTTTTAATTAAAGCACTTCCATTCTCAGAGAGATTGTTTCGATCTGGATGTTTAGGCAACGTTTTTGTTGTTTCTTATTTAAAAGTGCTCATCCGTACTCAGTCATGGCAGGGACTGAGCACAGCATTACTTAGGTGTCTGCCTGGGGTGTATATGTGTGTATGGATGTGTCCTATTTTTGAGCTATTTTAACTTATGCTTCATATTCTAGTGCTTTCTGATAAGTAGAGTTTATGTCAGAATAATTGGCCTGAGGATTTTTCTTTCCAGTCCAGTACATTTCTGAGGTACAGCTACATGGGAGATAATGGAAATGCCTCTGGAGTATCTGTCTGACAAGGGAAATAGCAAGAGTAAGGAGTGAACACAAAACAGGGACCTTGTCAAAGAGTGTGCAAGTGAATCAGTCCAATCACTCACTGTGGGTGACGTATCTGAACAAATTGAAGCTGACACAATGGTCAATTTGACTGAAAAAAGTATAATTTTGGATTAGGGTGAACACCTTTAATCTGTCAATTGTGGCAGTCTTAAACCTGTAATTGAAAGAGCACAGCACTGCTTTACTCCAGATGTCAGTCAAAACCATTCACTCTCCTCTGATCACTGATCAGTTTGCAGTCTCTTCTGCATTTACTGATTAGGCTCCTAAATATATCCTTTTTTAGGCAAGATTCTTTGCTTTACCTAACGAAAATATCAATCTAATAAGAGCAGCCCTTCAGAATAACACTTTGATTCACCTGATTTTCAAGCAGATGGTATTCAGGGCACAGGAAACAACAAAACAGAGCATCGCCATGTGTTTAATTTTAGCTCTTGCTCCCTGAATTGCCGTTTGAGCTATAAAACACTATCTTACTTTTAGTGTGCTTGTGTGCCTTGCCATTCCAGAATTGAAGTTGTGCCTCTCTAGTGTAATTCAGAATAGGGTGATTTCTGCCCTGGGAGCACCACTCCCAGAAGATGGTTGAGTTTCCAGCCCACCTTACTTGTCCCACCTGTCCCAGTCTGGGACAAGTAAGTGAATGATTTCCGTAGGCATCTTACCCTCAAACCTATCTGTGAAATTACAGACCAAGGATAGTGACTCATGAGAAGTAAGGATATATTAACAGCTTCAGGAGAAGAATTACTCCATCCCTGCCCACTTGCATGCAGATGGTTCTATGATTTATCAAGAGAAATGGTCCATATGCTGCTCACAGTCTCCTGAGACTTTTACCCTAACATCACCTCTTCCAATGTTTAGATTAAAGCAACATGAAATGGAGAATAAAATTAGCTTGACCTTGCAGTAAGCAAGGAGGTATCAGAATGACTTGCTACATGAGAGGCTGTTCACTTCTTTGGAGTGTCTCAGGGAAATTCAAGATCAGGATCATGGAATTTTCTGAGTTGGAAGAGACCCACAAGGATCATTGAGTTGGGAGTTTCCTTATCTTAGCTCATGTTTCCAGTGAGCTATACCCAACATTAATGTCCTTCTCTGAATACTGAACATAACATTCTCCACAGCAGTTTGAATTCTAGCCTCTTTAATTTTATGGTCATCACTGATACCATTGTTTTAAATGTTTGCTGCTGTTGCAGCTCTAGAGGCAAAAGGAGATGGGAGCCTCTTGTCATTATTAACAGCAATGTTGCCTTTGTGAGGCAGGCCACAGGGAAGTACTGAAGAAAAAAGCAAATTCCCATTCCCTGGCAGGAGAATACACAGCAAAATATTAAAGTAGCTAAGCAAACTCATTTCTTCAGTATGTGAGGTTGAAATAAACAGGCAAAGAAGCATCCCACCCTCCGGAGTTTCTCAAGAGTAAATCATCCAAACTATTATCCATGCTCTACTCTGTCATTATTCTCTGCCTGTCAGCTCCTTGTAAGGGCTGCCTGTTCCACCCCTCTTGTGTTATTGTGGTTGCCATGCCCTCCTCTCACCAGCTCCTATCAGTTATAATGACACAGTGAGGGGAAAAAACCCACAGTCAGGCTTCCAAATTACCAGGAATTAGAGTAACAACAATAAATTTGCTTTAATTTTTTTTTTTAAAAACAACCAACCCCCTCCCCCAACAACAACAACAACAACAACAACAACGAAAAAAAAAAAACCTAAAAAAAACCCCAAAATAAAAACCCAGAATAAAATAACCAAAATGAGAGAGTGAAAGAATTTTGCAATCTGTAGATGATTTCTGCTTCTGGGATTGCATACATCATTAAGATTTATAGGTCAGTCCAGAGCTTAAAGAGCAGATGTTTTCTCATTATTTATCTTCCTAGCTAAGGCAGAAGATTCCTTTTTAAGGAAATCTGCGTAACACATGCAATGGAAATAGATCAGGTCCTACGATCAGCCTTTCTAACCAGCTCATAAAGGGTGAGCTGAGACACCCATCAAAGAGAGGTTCCATTTTACCCTCCATAACAGAAAGAAATGTGCTCACTAGTGTCTGATACTGAAAATGTCAAATAACAGAACTGAATTTTACCTCTTATCTGGCTGTCCTCTGACTATAGCTATGAACATTTGAAGAGTATCTTGTATGAACAGTCAACTGGCTAGTAGGCTTCAGCTTCTGAACTTCATCCCAATACCTGGATTTCTGAGCTTTAAGCAGAAGAGCACTTTGATCAAAGTACTGCTCTCAATAATATCATGGCTATACATGCTCTTTGTAAAGCACAAGCTGTTAGTGTTGTGCTGCAGTCCCAAAAGGCAATGTCACTTCGACAGGCATCTGTCCTCAGCAGAGCCCTTCTGGACTTTTTACTTAAGTAGGCACAGAAATGATGCAGCTTTCAAGGATCCACTTTTCTAACCATTGCGCCCCTTTGCAGGCCAATCACTGGGCACTTTGGAGGCAATTTGCACTGGTCATCTTCTGTTGTGAAGTTGGAAAGGAAAAATCAAAATGAAAAATACTCAAACAAAATATTCAAACACAATATTCCAAGAAGTGGAATTCTGAATTTTCTTCTTGCATCCCTTCCATCAAAAATACCTGATTCAGAGCTATAGAATATCCTTCCCACCTTGTAACATTCTTCCAAAATATATGAGTTCTACACATTTAGAAACTCTGTAATTTTTTGCATATACTCTTTGGTCTTTTTTGTCAGTGTAATTGGTCTGAATAGGAATCTCACACATTCCCAAAGCTGCTGGAACTGTGTCTGACTTTTGAAGTGTTTCTAAATCCAGGGTCACAGAATGGCTTGTGTGTGAAGATCCTCTTTCTGACTGCTTTTCCCTTGAAGAGATGCCTCTGCAATTCTCCTGCTCCAGGCCTTAAAAGCACTGCTGAGACAGCTCATGCCTGAGGAACCTACTCGAGGCCACACACCTCCGGGGTGATAGATTCACTTTAGAATCAAAAGTAATTAAGAGAAAAAGGAGCACAGGCCTGCAGAGTGGCCTCACTATCAAACAACACCAGCAATAAGGCTCTTCAAGTAAATCATCAAAAGCCTTCCTAATCCTCTCCAGAGCCAATGCCAAATCTTCTTCTCGAGACTCTATGGAATCTTCTTTCCTCTGCAGATGTTAAGGCATGGAATGAATTTGTCCCTTCTCCTGAGATCCCAATTTCTTATAGCAGCCACCCTGCTTCTCAGCGTCTTCAGGCAATTAAAGCTCAAAACCCATTGCTGATGACCTGGAACAACCAGTTCCCTGGAGCCTGCCTGCCCTTTTAGCAAAACTTCTGCTCTGAGAAATACCACCAGTGACCCTCACAGCAGGTGTGATGGTGAGGTGCTGTGTGAGATTTCAACGCTAAGCAGGGATCTGGCCAAGCTGGATCAACAGGCCAAGGCCAATTTTATGAGGTTCAAGAAGGAGAATGCCATGTCCAGCACTTTGGCTGTAATGCCCTGACAAGTTCAAAGTAGACAGGACCAAAGACAGGAGTACAAAAAAACCCCAAATCGTCTTTCATGGTATGAGGGAGCCCCCCAGAAAATAAACCACCTGCAGCATAGGCCTGAGGTCCACTAAGGAGAAAGCCCCAGGGTCAGCATTAGTCACAGGCACACCTGTTTGTTTCTTACTGTATTTAGTACTGGTGTGGCCTCACCTTGAGCACTGTGTGCAGTTCTGAGCACCACGATTTAAGACAGACGTGAAGGTCCTAAATGTGTACAATGGAGGGCACCAAAGCTGGAGAGGGGACTGAGAGGCATATCCTGTGAGGAGTGGCTGAGGACTCTGTGTTTGTCTAGTTTTGAGAGAAGGAGTTTGAGGGGCAACCTCACTGCTCCCTACAGCTTCCTAAGGAGAGGAAGTGTAGACTGAGGTTCTGAGCTCTCCTCCCTGGGATCTAGGGACAGGACATGTGGGAATGTTGTAAAGCTGCATCAGGACAAGTTTGGACTTGACATTATGAAGAGGTTATTTACCAAGAGGATGGTCAAACCCTGGAACAGCCTTCCTAGAGAGGTTGATGCCCTGAGCCTGTCAATGTTTAAGAGGCATTTGGACAATGCCCCTAATAGAATGTTTTGACTCTTGGTCAGCCCTGCAGTGGTCAGGCAGTTGGAATCAGTGATCGTTGTATGTCCCTTCCAATGCTACTCCTCCATTCCGCTCTACCAACAACACAGCTCAAACAAAGAGGGGGGCCCAGGCCTGAGCTGAGATGGACCTCTTGGGTCCATGGGAAAAGGGTGAATGGATGCCACAAGTTAGGCTAGTCATGAGCATTAAGGACCATTAGTGACCTCAGGTCTCTGGCATCCATCACAGGGCATTGATCTGTCTGCTTATAGGTAACCCAGTGAGGTAGTGCAACCAGCCTGACCTCTCAAGATCACCCATGGCAGATTCACTTTTACAATTTAGTTGGAATTTGCTTAGATTAGCTGGGTGGTGTAACTGTCCCACTGTAGATCTTACTACCTGTCTCTCCCTGGGGAAGTATGATAATAGTTCTGTACTTGTGACTCATGCTCTGCTGGATTTTCCTCTAGGTATACTGCATGCTCTCTTTAGTTCCACAAACTCCAAAGTTTTCCTCAGTCATTCTCAGAGCAAATTACCCTCTGGTTCTTGTCTTTAACCTTTTTCCTATGTATTTGCATAGTGGCTCAATGAGCCATCTGTAGTGCCAGTCTATCCATGCTCTGTTCTACTGTGTCATGAGGAGGTAAAGAAAACACATTAAAAAGCTGTAGTCAGTGCTGTGTGCCAGCTGCTAGTGTCCCTTGGAAAATATTTGTGCTGTTTGTTACTGACATGAAAGTTCTCTTGGTAACTGGTGTGCTGCTTATAGTTCTTCAGGATTCCTTCCCTCTTTGGCTGCCCCAGAGAAATGTGCTGTATGGGCCAATATGAGCATTCAGCTGAGCTGATCCGGTCCAGTACTTCTCTGTATTAGGCAAAAATGTTGTTTTCATTACCAGTCTTTAACTCTTAAAAAAAAATTTGAAAAAATAATCCCTGCAACTGTAACTGTTTCTCATAAAGTCCACATTGCATAAACAGTTGCCCCAGGTCCTGGGAACAGCAGCCCGTTCACACATGGACTGCACCACAAAAGCAATGGCTCACAGTGGTCAGGCCAGGGCAGAACAAGGACGTGCTCTCTGTAAGGGACAGATGGTATCTATTTAGCTAAACATTCTTCCACCAAGGCTGTTTTAACGCCCAGATAATTTTTATCAGCTTCTTATCACATTTGGGAGCCCAGCATGCTTCTGATAGAGGCTGTGTAAGTGCTTCCCAGAGAGTGCTGCAGTTTCAGGGTTCAAGGCAGCATATCAGCATGAAGAGGAGGTGTGTGGATGTGGAGGGGTGGAATAAAAACAACCCCATGCCATGTTTGCTGATTTTGAAATGTTCTTGGATGAATTTCCAGGTAGAATATAGATGCAAGAACGTGGGAGGCCTCTTTCATCCATACTCAGTTTTTCTATACATTCAGGGCCAGACTGTGAGCCTTTAACTCATCTGTGTCTGCGTGCTGCTTTTTAGGCTGACATGAAGGAGGTCTGCCAGTGCTCTGAGCAACTCAGAGATGCCTCACTGGCATCTGTAGCATGTTATTAAGCCCAAGCTATCCTGGCTCACATCTGACTGCAAAATTCAGTGTAGACATGCAACTTAGCCTGGCACCCACTCCTAGGAATGCTTCTCTTCCCAGATACTTCTGTTGTGAGGACAAGGTGTTACTCATCCTCACTACGCATATCACAGGGTGCCTTACTGTTAGACTGTCAGGCAGAGCTGTCATCTGAAAGCCCCAGTGCAGTGAGGTGATGCAGCCCTGTGCCAGCCCTCTTGAACTGTGACAGTACCACATGTGACACCAGGAGCATGACATCTGCACAGTGTAGCATGCACCAGAGCACCTTGATGTAAAGAGCATTTGGGTGTTCAGAGAGAGCAGAGAGGAAAGTATGGGACACTTATGAAAGGCAAAGAAAAGTCTGTCTCTCTCTCTCCTTTTCTTCACCAGGGAACTGGCTCACACAGTACTACAATAACAAGAGCTGGCAGGCTGCCCAGCATCGCTGTACTTTGGTTGTAAGTGAACTATGAGGCTCAAGCAATCTTCTGGGAAAAGTTCACACCAAATGTATTGTATGTTATGTTTTCCCCTCATTGTATTTTTTTCCAAAACAGTCTATTATATTCCTTCCCTGTTGCACTGTGGATTTCTTTAAGATCCCCAGGAGCTGCCCCTTTAAAAACCAAACATTTGGGTAATCAAACAGATCTGTTTTTTGAAGTAACAGAGATAAACTAGTAATCCTCCTCTCAGAGCCAGCCTTCAGAATAAAACCCGAACGATTCACTGAATGGTGAGGGTTTCTGTTGATGGGGTTTTTTTCTCAGTTACAACCAAAAGTTAAATTAGAGAAGGAAGTGTGCCATTGAAACACTATCATTATCTATATGATGTACATCTTCCATGGAGTGGAAGCCAAAGCAGAGGGGGCTTTACAAATGCAGTGCAGTAAAAGGAAAAATGTTCCAAAAAGTATGTTCTCTCTTTCACTTGAAGTTTCAAAAAAAGTCTGATGTGGTTTTACATAATGGTCCAGGACACCTCAGACATGACAGCTGTAACTTCCACTGTAAGATGCCTTCATTTACTTTGTCCTGTTCCTCAATATGTTTTTTGCAAGGGGGATAAAAAGACACATTTTTTAAGTTCACAGAAACTATGAACACATTGAACACAATTTAGCTGGCAAGTCAGACCACGGGCAGTTAGTTAGAAACTGAGTAACAAAAGTATGCCATAAGCAGCCCAAGTACATATTCTCCATTGCCCTGCAAATACAGATGCTGTGAATTTATAATTTACTGTTGTTTTTACTGATTTTTACTAATTTTACTATATTATTTCCTAGAAGCCTTTGCTAAGCTCTGTATTGCATTGTGTGAGGTGTTGCACCTATGCACAGGAAGTTTCTTCCTCAGAAGATTTAGGAGATTAGCTTAGGGTGGTTTTGCAGATGTGTTGGCATGGTACACAAAGTAAACTCACAGCAAACATGAAGCAGTTAATTCAGCTTAAATTAGCAGTGGTATCAAGTACCTGTAATTCCAGGAGGCCTTGGTAGGAGTTTTGGGTGTTCAGCACTTTTGAAAGCCAGACTGAAGTTCCTTGCCATGCTTCTGACAAAAAGTCCTTAGAAATTAAAGACAGAAAAGAATTATTAGGTTATCAGTCCAAATTCATCCCAGAAGAAAACCCATTGAAGTCAATGAAATTTCACTGGGGATGGATTTACCATAGCAAGATTGATCCCTATAGTATATTTAGAAGTGCTTTGTCCTATACAGTTTTAATTAGCTCTACATTAGTCAAGGTACTGTACCATTGTTTTAATCAGCTACCCTAGCAGGGAACTGTCTCTAGCTCTCCTTGCCCATATTATCCCTCCCACCCCCGTCCCTTGCTGCCTCCTTCTCACCCCCTCATTATTTTATCTCTAATTTGGCTAATGAATTTCTCAGACAGAGCCTTCTTTCATGTTTGAGAAGGACCTTGCCTGTATTGAGGCTAAAGAAAAAAAAAAGCCAAACCACACTGAGGGCAAAAAAAAAAAGGACCAGAAAGAAAGAGCAAATTCTTCTACTGAGAAAAGCAAAGGTGTCTATGAAGCTTTAAACTGTTCTTTGTCACTCCATCAATCCATATATAGCTAGGTCACAGTTTTTCACCCCATATTCTGCATTAAGGTGAGTATGAGTACTTTAGTCTTGACTTTCCAGTTTCAACACTGACTCCCTACATTGTCAGAGCAATTGGTTCTTGTTTCAAACCTCTGCTTTACCACAGTTAAAACAGCCATAATCATTCACGTGTACATGCAAAGAATTTCTCGAGTTGTTTCACAGAAATCAGGAAAGCCTTTTAAGTTCCCTAGTGGAAAAGTACTTGTAATATAAGGCAAAGTACTGTTGCCATCAGTAGTACTGTCTTTTTTTTTAATAATTCTAAAGCAAGCATTAATCTTTTCTCCGAGTTTGCCAATTATTTTTTTACCTTCTCTAATGAAAGTTCTAACAATATAATAGGGAATTTGTAGTCTCTGTACGCTTTCAGTCATATAATTACAACTAAAACAAGTGTGTTGAGAATAACTGCAGAAACTGTGGGTTCAGTGCTGCCTTCTGCCAAAGGAAAAAAAAAAGTCCACAAGTAAGGAAAAAAAACCTCCAAAACCACATTGGACAAGTTACTAAATCCCATCTACGTAAACACGTGTGTGTTCATTTCTGAGTCACCGTATCATTTGACCATGAAAGAAACAAGACAGTTTGCTTGAAGAATGTCAGGAAGACCAGAATATAATTTTTTTAAATGCCATGTTTTCAGTTTTCTTAATGCTCTTCTAAAACAGGCACACACTCACTTTAAAATTAACCACAGAGCTTAATTAAGCTTCTTCTGATTGTGCTGGGAGGGTTCCATGTTGTCTTCCTGTGGTCATTTCATCAGCCAGGGCTTTTCATGTAAGAATGTGCTGCATCCATGTCACAGCATGGGGTCTCATCACAGACACCTGCTCTCAGCCTGTGAACACAGATTTTAATCCCCTTCCCTGCAAAAATGGTGACAGAAGGACATGTTATTTAATTACTCATGCATGCTCTCCAAGACAGGGTCCACAGCTCCACTTGTTTCATATGGCTTGTGCTATTTTTGGGGGGTGATCAAATAGGATGGTTGTTAAAAAAGGAGAAAGCTTCACAATAGACTTCTCTTTGCTATTTGGTGAGAACAATAAATGAAAAGATTGGCAGGATAAGAACAGAGTGGGAACTGAACAAAATCTAGGTATGGTAAATATAGCCATACAATTATTTGTGAGTTCTTCTGCTCTCACTGTGAAGATATGTAAGTTAAGATGTACTGTGTAACTTCA